AGAGGTAGGAAGATGGTATAATCTTTGCAAATTCAAAATACTAAATACGGCTGTAAACTGTGCCAAAAACTCATAAAAAAATTTAAACTTTTATTTAAAATTAAGAAATGCCATTAAATGGGTGGGGTCTATCCTATCCAAAATTACAGAGAATTTGGTTAAAAAAAACGGTCCGAAGCCCTTCAAAATATCGATATTTAGCAAAAAATATGATTTAATTTGAACTGCACAAAAAAAAAGACAAAATCTGTAAAAAAATCTACGCCTTACTTTGGCCTGCAGAAGGTATTCCTTAAAAACTACGCTTCGATATGTCCTAAAAAATATTCTCTAATAAATCTACGTCTTAATTTCATGTGCAAAAAGTATTCTATAAAAATCTACGACTTAATTTCATCTGCAAAAAGTATTCTTTAAAAAACTACGCTTCGATATGTCCTGGAAAAAATATTCTTTAAAAAACTATACTGCAATATACCCTGGAAAAATATAATTTAAAAAATCTACGCCTTACGCTTCGATATGTCCTGGAAAAAATATTCTTTAAAAAACTATGCTTCAATATGCCCTGGAAAAATATAATTTAAAAAATCTACGCCTTACGCATCGATATGCCCTGGAAAAATATCATTTAAAAAATCTACGCCTTACGCATCGATATGTCGTGGAAAAATATCATTTAAAAAATCTACGCCTTACGCATCGATATGTCCTGGAAAAATATCATTTAAAAAATCTACGCCTTACGCATCGATATGTCCTGGAAAAATATCATTTAAAAAATCTACGCCTTACGCGTCGATATGTCCTGGAAAAATATCATTTAAAAAATCTACGCCTTACGCTTCGATATGTCCTGGAAAAATATCTTTTAAAAAATCTACGCCTTACGCTTCGATATGTCCTTGAATATTATTATTTAAAAAATCTACGCCTTACGCTTCGATATGTCCTGGAAAAATATTATTTAAAATATCTACGCCTTATGCTTCGATATGTCCTGGAAAAATATTATTTAAAATATGTACGCCTTATGCTTCGATATGTCCCAGAAAAATATTATTTAAAATATCTACGCCTTACGCTTCGATATGCCGGAAAAAAACTTCTTTAAAAACTCTACGTCTTATGCTTCGATATGTCCCGAAAAATTATTCTTTAAAAAATCTACTCATCCATATTTAAAAAAAAAATATTTTTTAAAAACCTGCAATTTTTTTTTTTAAATTTGAAACCTTACTTTGACTTGCAAAAATATTCTTTGGCACGGTCGACGTTTTATTTGTTATAAAAAATATGATTATGGGTTATAAGAAAAAGGGACGTTTATAAAAAATAATAATAATATTTTGCACTTGGGATCTAATAGATCTTAAAATAATTAAACCCATTTTATTAATAAACATAAGAATTCAATTCAAATTTTAGGTTCGAATTATTTTTTTTTTCATTGTTTCTTTTTATTACTGTTATTTAATATTTTTAAACGGATATCAAATATTACATATTCCCCATAAAGTTTTTGGAAATTTGTATGCAAATATTTTAAAATTTCTAAATCTTTAAAAAAAACTCTTAAACCTTTCCATTACCTATTAACCCAAGTCGTATCCTTTAAACTCCCCATACCTACACACTTACATTTATAGTTTTTCAAACAGCAAAAAAAGCAACAACTCTCACTCTATCTAATGTGCATTTCTAGTACTTCACACGCTTACACACACACATAAGCACTTTGATGTTGATGATGACTGTATACACTTTTCATAGTCTGCTTTAAGTTCCATCACTTGTTCTTTTAACAGTACGAGGAAAAAACAGCAACAACAAAAACAACTTTCTAGCCAAGAAGAAATCAACGAACTAAAAACAAAAATCCCATTTACTACCTCAAGTGTCAGCCATTAAGTATGCAACAGTTTTTCCATTTTTCTGTTTTTTTTTCTTCTTTCTAATGGAAACCAATGAGACACTTTCACATACACACAGACACACACACCGGAACCATTACAGAGAAATAAACTCTCTCCTGGGTGAGAAAAGAAGTAATACTCTTACCTAAGATTACACTGAAGTAATAACTCCTACTTAACGTTTATGCTTAAAAATGTTATATCAAACCAGCTCCACCCGCCCAAAAGTATGCTGCATTATAGTTGTGAAAGTGTTGTTGATGTTTTTTTCTTTTTACTGCAAGGTATGGGGTTTTTTTTTAAATTTTAAAAATTTTAAAATAAAATTTAAATAAATTAAAATAATTGGAATGAAAAAAAAAAATAATTTCGTTTTTAATTAACAAATAACATTTTTCATAATTATTTTTCTCGTTGTTGTTGCTGTTGTTGTTAAGTGACATCTTTACAAATTTGCCCAACAGCTTATCATGTCCTTAGTCACACCATGTTGTCCTTTTAAATTTGGATTTTGCCGGCATTTTGGAATCGCAGCATCATTTGATGTTTATGTGCAGGTCAAATCAAATACCCCCTACCGTGACAAAACATTTTTTTGGACTGTAAACCATTTGGATGCTGTTTGAAGCTGCACCGCCGACAAACGAAACGAAAAATAATTTCCTTTAGCAATTAACGTGGCCCCAAAAAAGCAACGTTTGTTGCTTTTGGTCAAAATACCTGTTTTTCCAATCAGACGATTAACAAATTTTTGTAGACACACATACACATACATAAACGAAGAAGGAATAGGAGGAGGTAGGTGAGGGACAGGCAGGCAGACAGACAGAAGTGCCACAAAGTTTGCATGATTACAACACCAGCCAATGAGACAGTCTAAAGCTTTGCCGAATTGGCACCCTCTATTAGATATTATACGGTTATGTGAGTGTGAATTTGAGTTGACCAAATATGTAGTTTGGCTTATTTAGTTTCAGATACACTGAGCGAAAAAAGATGTGAGGAGTAGAGAGTATGGATTTAAAATTTTTAATTAAATAGTAGATAATTTGATATAAAAATTCCAAAAAAAAAAAATATATTTTTTAAATCCAAGCTTATATATCGGAATGCAAACAAATATATATTTTTAAATCCACAAATATTAAAAATATAAAAATATATTTTTTTTTAAATCCACGCTTATATTTGGAACTTAAAAAATATTTTTAAATGTCCACTCTATATATGGGATTTAAAAAACATTTTTAAACCAGTAAGGAAAGTAATAAAGTCGGACCCCTTCACCACTTTGGGTATATTCCACATATGAACTGTTTAAATTTTAATCTCAATCGGACACCAATTGATTATTTGGTGTACAATTAACATAAATAGGTCGAAATTATATACGGAAACTATGATATATCTGAACAGATTTCAATGAAACATGTCAGAGATTAATTTATATTAACTTTAGTACGTTGTGTCAATCGGCCTAGCTACGGATATTTAGTGCACCATTTTCTTAATATCGGATATATATATAGGAGGTATATGTAAATCTGAACTGATTTTCTCAAAACTTAACACACATCATTCTAGACTTAATTCAGTACGCTAAGACAAAATTCGTGAAAATCGGAAGATATATAGGGGTTTTGGTGCACCATTTACCTAAAATCGGGCGAAACTATATATGGGAGCTATATGTAAATCTGAACTGATTTTCTCAAAACTTAGCACACATCATACTAGACTTAATTCAGTACGTTATGCCACAATTCGTGCAAATCGAATGATTTTCAGGGACTTTGGTGCACCATTTACCTAAAATCGGGCGAAACTATATATGGAAGCTATATCTAAATCTGAAACGATTTTCACGAATCTAAGCAGACATCATTCTAGATTTAATTCAGTACGCTATGCCACAATTCGTGCAAATCGAATGATTTTCAGGGACTTGGTGCTCCATTTATCTAAAATCGGGCGAAGCTATATATGGGAGCTATATCTAAATCTGAACCGGTTTTTAGGAAACTTAACACACTTCATTCTAGAATTAATTCATTACGCTATGCCACAATTCGTGCAAATCGAATGATTTTCAGGGACATTGGTGCTCCATTTATCTAAAATCGGGCGAAACTATATATGGGAGCTATATCTAAATCTGAACCGATTTTTCCCAATTATAATAGGGTTCGTCCTTGGGCCAAATAAGTGACCTATGCCAAATTTCATCCAATTCGGATCATAAATGCGACCTGGACAGACAGACGGACGGATAAATCGACTTACAAAGTGATTCTATGCATATTCTCAAAAGGAACCGGACTTAACAATATTTTTATTATATATTGGACTTAAAAAATATTTTAAAAAATCCTCAATTATATGTGAGACGTAAAAAATATTAAAAGAAATAGCTCTTATATTGGATTTAAAAAAACCCGCTTTTATATGGCATTTAAAAAAATATCTTGACTTATATATGGAATTAAAAAAAATGTATGGGACTTAACAATATTTTTATTATATATTGGACTTGGACTTGGAAAATCCTCAATTACATAACGCAAAATATTATATTTTGAGAATATAAAAATATTTTTATTATAATATATATATATATATATATATTAAATTTAGCTTATATGAGACTTAAAAAATATTTTTTAAAAAAACGCCCATTTTTTTTAAAGAGCACACTTATATATGGGGCTTAAAACATATTTGTAAGAAATCTACGTTTATGAGACCTATAAAATATTTAAAAAAAATCCTCTCAATTTTACTGTATTACGCTTTTTGTTTGAGTGTATAACCAAATTGAAAAGAAAAACTAGTTAAAATTGAAAATTATGTTCTGTCTGGCGTCCAATCGCCATTTACGTATTGACCGTTAACTACCAGTTTTTCCACCAAAAAAGAGGAATCCGATTCACAAACAATATTTTTCCCCAACACAAACCATTATCCTCAAACCCACCGATGAACACAACACATCATGTCATGTTTCCCAGCCATTTTACAACTACCATAAATTTTCCAAAAATCCAAAAAAAAAAAGAAAACAATTGCAAAAACCGAACAACTTACCAATCTGATTTCAATTTCAGCATCAATACGTTTACGCATCTTACGACTGGAATTACCGAACGGACACAACAACAAATCATCATCATCACTGCCAGCAGTTATGAGATTTGCACCACCACCATTCGCTGTCGCACCACCCACCATATCGGCCATCTCATCGCCGGACAGAATGCCATCAAATGGCGCAGATGTGGGTGAACCCACCACAGTGGATGCCGCCGACAAGCCGGTTGCTGGTGTGGGGGGAGGTGTTACCTTGCCGGCCTCTTCATAGAGGACACGTACACTGTGCGGTCGAGTGTCGCTGGTAAAGAGTTCCTTGCGATGTGACTTGTCACTTTCGTAGTGTTGTTTACGTTGTGCGAATGTTAAAAGGTCGCTTTCCGCTGTTGGTAGAGAGGAAGAGAGATAAAAAAAGAAAAAGAAAAAATTAAATTTTATGTTCATATTGAAAAAAGAAAAATAAATAAATGAATGATTCAATGTATTAAATGAAGGTGTAGGGGTGCAGGGGGGTTATATATGAGGAGCTTATAAATTCTTGCTCCATAGCCAGTCAATGAGGTATATAGTTCTTTTTTTTCAAAACAAATTGAAACAAGTTGCCCGTTTAATTTTGCTTACAGCCAGCCACAAATGACTCACTCAAACAATCGGGTGTGTAAAAATTACAAAATTGATTGGCTGTCTTGGCCGGGGTATTAATTATGCCAGTTATTTTGCCATAATTCCACCATGACTGGGGCTATTTTTAAATACAGTTTATAAATATGACAACGATCGAAGGGTGAAGTATGGTATATTTTAAATAAAAGCAGAGACGTTTATGAAAAAAATAAATAAAAAATATTTTTCACAAGAAAAAATAATTTAAAAAAAAATAATAATAATAATATAAAAAATCTATATAGGCGTGGATTTTTTCTGACTTGAAAAAATATTTTTAAAAAATCCACGCATATAATTTGGATTGGAAAAAATATTTTTAAAAAATCCACGCCTATATTTCAAGCTTGAAAATCCTCAGACATAAAAAAAAATATATTTTTTTAAATTCACGACTATGTTTCAGATTGGAAAAATATTTTTAACAAATCCACGCATATAATTTGGATTGGAAAAAATATTTTTAAAAAATCCAAGCCTGAAACCCGCCAATATTAATAAATCGACATTTTTTTAAATCAACACTTTTTTTTTGGGGCCCCAAATTTTTTTTCATATTAAAAAAAATAAAATAAAGAAATCGTACTGAATTAGGTCCAGAATGAAGTTTCGTGAAAATCGGTTCAGATTCATAAAATATTTATACATTTTTATTTTTTAAATAAGTTATATAACTTTCGATTTTCACCAAATTTTGTATAGTGTACTAAATTGAGTCTACCACACGTGTGTTACAGGGTATTATGTCTTTGATATACATATATATTTTGTAACAGGTAAATGGTGAACCAAAGTCCCTATATATGTTCTTTTTGCACGAAATTTCGCATAGGGTACTAAATTAAGCCTAGAAGGATGTGTGCTAAGTTTGTGATAATCGGTTCAGAAGATATGGCTCCCATATATATCCAATTTGGATGAAATTGTGCACCAAAGTTCCTTTATATCCTTCGATTAGCGCGAAATTTGGCACAGCGTGCTGAATTGGGTCTAGAATGATCAGTGGTAAATATCGGGAAAATCGGTAAAGATTTCGATATAGCTCCCATATATATTTTCGCTCGATTTTATGTAAATGGAGCACCAAAGTCTTTATATACCTTTCGATTTGCACGAAATTTGGCATAGAGTACTAAATTAAGTCTAGAGTGATGTGTGTTAAGTTTCGTGAAAATCGGTTCAGATTTAGATATAGCTCCCGTATATAGTTTCGTCCGATTTTATTAAAATCGTGCCGCGAAGTCCCTATATAACTTTCGATTTGCACGTAATTTTGTATAGTGTACGAAATTGAGTCTTGAATGGCGTGTGTTAAGTTTCGAGAAAATCGGTTCAGATTTAGATATAGCTCCCATAAATAGTTTTGTCCGATTTTATGTAAATGGCGCACCAAAGCCACTATATATCTTTCAAATTGCACGAAATTTGGCATAGGGTGCTGATTTAGGTCGATAATGATGTGTGAAAAGTTTCGTGAAAATCGGTCCAGATAAATATATAGCTCCCATATACATTTTTGTCCTATTTAAGGTAAATGGGGCACCAATGTCGCAATATACTTTCGATTTGCAAGAAATTTTGTATAGTGTACTGAATTGAGTCTTGAATGACGTGTGTTAAATTTCGAGAAAATTGGTTCAGATTTAGATATAGCTCCCATATATATATGGTTTCGTCCGATTTTAGGAAAATAGTGCACCAAAGTCCCTATATATTCATCGATTTGGATGAAATTTGTCATAGCCTCCTGAATAAGGTATAGAATGATGTGTGTTAAGTTTCGTGAAAATCAGTTCATATTTAGATATAGCTCCCAAATATATTTTCGTCCGATTTTAGTAAATAGATTTTGAAAATAATATTTTTAGAAATCGACACCCATATTTAAGACGCTTCAAAAGTATTTTGAAAAATAAATTCTAAAAACTTTCCACACATCCCTCATATTATAAAATATTTATTATTTCTATCATTCAAATAATTTGTAATAGAATTTATGACCCTGTCGATTATTTTACATATTTTTAGTTGTTGTTGTCGTTATGCAATGGAAATTGCTTTAGATTAAAACTTGTAGATTGTAAAATACAAAATTGCTGTTGGTAATTTGTAAAATTGTGTATCTGTTTTATTTTTTTTTCAAAACATGATTCATGTATTTTGAAAATGATACTGTAATAACCCTCAGGTTATGAAAAAGATACATTTTAAAATTCAATTCTATTTCAAAAAAAATTAAAAGTCATGATATCAAAAACGCCCCCACTCAAGTCATTACCTAAATTAATTTATTCTATGCTATGTTTTCATTTTTTTTGTAAAGAGCAAATTTCCATTACGGCCCGCATTTTTTACACAATTTGTTTCAAAATACAAATAACGTAATTAGTTACTCTTTATGATTATTTTAATTAATATTTAAAATGTTTTCCTATTTTTTTTTTAAATAACGATGGGAAACAATGGAACCAAATATTCTCAAAAAGCATATGGAAAATTATTTTACACTTTGTTTAAACCACAGTTTTTTTAATAAACCAAACCCCACCATTGTTAGGTCAAATTAACATCCACCACCTCCTTTTGGTGGCAGGCAGGCAGCAAGTAGCTCATAATAATTTCCACCATAATTGCCAGAGAGAGAGTAAACATTATGTAGCCAACCACCCAATTATATCCCATGATCTTGGAAAGCACAAAAACCCCAAGTCGAATAATTGCACACATCAACAAATGGAGAGCTTTGTTTACAGAATAGAACGTGAAAATCTGTGTAATTAAAATGTAATGTTCTTCCCTCTTTCATGATGCAAAAAATGAGAAAAAACAGCAACCACAACTTCACATTGTAATTGAATTAATGGCAATCAAAGACATTGCCTTAACAATGACAGCGGCGGCAATGGCCAGCCAAACAGCCAGCAATCATCCTCTTCAAAAGATAAATGTGTGACATGAGAAAGTCCAGAAAATCTATAAAAACGCGAAAGAAGAAGAAGAAGAGGACGAAGACATGAGCCAACAACAACAACAACAGTAAGTAAATCTCAGCAGATATTGCTTTTGGTCTTTTGGCAAATAAACTGTGGATGGCGGACAGATTGCCACAGTCCGCCGGACAGTTAGCCTGCCTGCCTGTCAGTTAGCCTTGGGACCAGGGACAAATGAATATTAAACGAAGAAGAAAAAAGACAAGAACTAGAATAGTTAAAGTGAATAATAAATCAACAAAACGAATAAGGGGTGTTTCCAAGTGGCATGATGGAAATTTGTACAAAAGATATTTTTTAAATCCATTTTTCAGAAAAAAAATTAAAAAATACTTTTAAGAAATTTACGCCTATATTTGGACCTCAAAAAAATAATTTAAAAATATTTTTAAGAAATTCAGGGCTATAATGGATTTAAAAAATTAAAATAAATATTTTTATTTTATTTGGGATCGAAAAAATATTTTTAAAAAATTCACACCTGAAAAGATATTTTTAGAAAATCCACGCTAATATTTGGGATCGAAAAATGTTGAAAAAATATTTTTAAAAAATCCACGGCAATATTTGGGATCGAAAAATAGTGAAAAAACATTTTTAAAAAATCCCCGCCTATATTTGGGACTTGAAAAATATTTTTATCCACGCATATATTTTGGATCGAAAAAATATTTTTAAAATAACCAGGACTATATTTTGGATATTTCAGGCTTGAAAAAATATTTTTAAAAAATCCACGCCCATTTAGGACTAGAATATAAAAAATATTTTTAAGAAATTCAGGGCTATATTGGATTTAAAAAATTAAAATAAATATTTTTATTTTATTTGGGATCGAAAAAATATTTTTAAAAATTTCACACCTGAAAAGATATATACGACAATATTTGGGATCGAAAAATGTTGAAAAAATATTTTTAAAAAATCCACGCTAATATTTGGGATCGAAAAATATTGAAAAAATATTTTTAAAAAATCCACGACAATATTTGGGATCGAAAAATATTGAAAAAAATATTTTTTAAAAAATCCACGCTAATATTTGGGATCGAAAAATATTGAAAAACATTTTTAAAAAATCCACGCTAATATTTGGGATCGAAAAATATTAAAAAAATATTTTTAAAAAATCCACGCCAATATTTGGGATCGAAAAATATTGAAAAAAAATTTTTAAAAAATCCCCGCCTATATTTGGGACTTGAAAAATATTTTTATCCACGCCTATATTTTGGATCGAAAAAATATTTTTAAAAAATCCACGACTATATTTTGGATCGGAAAAAAATTAAAATCCACGTCTATATTTGGGACCTGAAAAAAAATTAAAAAAAACGACGCCTGTTTGTGGCCTATATTTCAGGCTTGAAAAAATATTTTTACAAAATCCACGCCCTATTTATGACTAGAATACACGCCTAGTTTAGGATAGTTTAAAAATATTAAAAAAATCCAAGTTTATAACTAAGACTCGAAAAATATATTTTTAAAAAATCTACAGCTTTAACTATGACACGACTTGAAAAAAATATTTTAAAAAATACATGCATAAATTTTAGGTTTGGAAAAATATTTTTTTTTTAAATTCACACCAATATTTGGCACTTGAAAAATATTTTAAAAAATACACGCATATATTTGGCACTTGAAAAAAAATTAATAAATGCTATATTTGGGACCGTTGACAATTTTTATTAAACTTCGCCCAAAACCAATTAGAGAGAATGTCT